CTTTGATTTCGCTAGATTTCATCATCAAAGTTAAATTCTGTTGTGAAAAATATCGCTGCCCTTAGACTACGATATATGGCATACTTTCCTAGAAAGTGGTATGCTGTTTCGTCTTCTTCGTAGCACATGAAGTAGATTGTGCCTTGATTCACTCTAGTCAAGGAAAGATGCCTACTGAGACTACAGTGGCCCACGAGAATACCCACCAAGTTAATATTCATATATTAATATTTCTTGGTAACTTACGATTATCTCTATTCAACAGTCAGAACATTTGGCCCCGATGCAAACGTTTTAGTCTCCTCGTAGTCGTCTTTCTGTGTGACATTCTCAGTTCTCTATATGTCCATTTGTCTTAAACAAGGGGTGAGATAAGATTCCTGGCTCTCAAAACACAGCGACCAACAAGAAGCGCTGTAATGGTAGTACGGTTTCGATGGATGGTCACGATCTGCCAAAGTGCCAATGGTCTCATCTAGTCGGAGCCGATATCACTGAGTACTTGATTTGGCACGAACTTATCCCTTTATTCGTGTCAGGAAAGATGGTACAACGGCCTACAGTATAAAACTTTCAGCTTACGAGATAGAAGCTATGAATGTTACCAGCTAGCAAAGTGATGCTACGAGTTTTTGGTAAACGAACTGTTAAGCCGTAAATGCTCTCTTTTGTTGTTGGCTGATCACCAACATGCTATATAATATATAATATACAATATATAATTAATATATATATATAATATATAATATAAAATAAATATTATAATATAATAATATATATAATATAATAATAAATAATATATAATATATAATATAAATATTATATAAAATATAATATATAATATATATATATAAATATAATATATAATATATAATTATAATATATATATATATATAATATTATATATATATATAATATATAATATATAATATATATATATAATATAAATAAATAATAATAATATTAATATAATATATACAAGATTAGCTTAAGTCAGCGGCTCCGCTCGCGTGAATTATCATTCATTTTGAGGCATTTTGGTAAGCAATGTTATTTGTTGTATTATTTGTACCGTAATATCAAATCTCACACAACTTTTAGCAGATAGGTTTGACTAGTCTGATTGCAATTTAATTAAACTAGCTTGCAAAGCACACAACTAATATACCATAATAACAATTAACTTACAGAGTGTACCTAAAGTAACTAAACCAGCAAACCAATTAACCCACACCAATTTTGTATTTATCGATCGAGACTTTCAACGACGACAGAGCGAACTAACAATCAACTGAAAACAATATTTTGAACCTGTAAACAGTCCAGAAAAACAACCTCACTACAATATAATTACAATAAAACATACCTACCTCAATTTGTTCACAGTATTACACTCAAAGTGAAACAAAACACCAAACAAATCTAAATCAAGCGGGTCACGCTAGGAAAACAAATATATCGAAATGCAATTAATCGCAGATAATTAGCTACGCTTCAGATAACACTCTCTCTTATGATGGTACTACTGTTAACAGCACCATCTAACGATTGCGCCGATACTAACCCATAACACACGAAACTAAAGCGACGATTTATTATATATTTATCAGTGATATTTGCCCCTCTGTTATCCTCGGTATTATATTTATACACAACTGAGGAGCTTGCGTTCAAAACCGCCTATATCCCCGTTATTTGGATATTTTGAGAATTTCGTTGATTTCGTCCAAGTTTGAGGAGCTCTATCGGACGATACGTTAATTGTGTTCAACACCACTTATTTTGTGTATTTGCATGTGCCTCCAAAGTTGTGGTTTTGCATCAAAACCGCCTATATCTGATTTTGTGATCAAAACGGCTTATATCCAGGATCAGCTGATTCGGATCGTCCACGCGTATTATCCGCTAATCATTGAGGTTAGATATTAGAATATAGCACACAAACCAACGAAAATCATGGAGCAGGAGGCATTGAAGAGGTAAATAAAGGCACAAGACGCCGCTAAACAGCCAAAGAATAAGTCCCCTAATAATGTACGTGAAATTTCCGTTACTTTTCCCCATTCCTGGGAACAGCTTCATGGCAGCTGATCGTTGTTTTGGTAGAGTTGAAAAATCACTCAAGAAGACAGCAGTGATAATTTTGATAGATACCTATATTTTCTATTACTATGTGCAGCTTACCAAAAATTGTTAATTGAAATTATGATCATAGTTCGATATTTCCAAAAGCACCATAAAAGAGATTAACGCAAAATAAACGACGTCATTATAAAACCAACCAAAAGCGGAACTATACTTGCTTAATAAAACTAGTTACACACTTTGGCGCTTTAAAAAAAAATACAATATATGTATTTATAAAGATGACCAGTTCATCTTTACAAAATATGTATTGTGTATGAATGTATAACAAGGAATATAATCTTATTTGGTCTGTATCATTGATGACAGACTACTTTATATGCTATGAGCAATCACAATGTGAGTTGTGAGCTATGTTGATGTAAGGACGATCGAATAAAACATATTACCGATAGACTCGGAACGGGGCTGCGGTGATGGATCTACCTCCGTTCAGAGGGCTCGACAATTG